GGGGGGGGGGGGGGGGGGGGGGGGGGGGAGACTGGTTGCAGGAGGCATAAACAATAAAACAGGAAAAGAAGTGAACGGAGGTGAAAAGAGAAGAAATGCAGTGAAAGAAAAGAGGGAGAGGTTAGGTGAGTGTGAATAAAAAAACGCCGCACCAGCCCGGTCTCCACGGAGGTAGCCTACATAGCTGGCAGACAGGGTGGGGTGGGGGGTGTTGTACATGAGAGAGATGGGGAGGCGGGTGAGAAAAAAGGACACAGATATACAGTGATTGGGAGAAAGAGCAATGAAGATGAAAACAGAGGGAGGGGGATTGAGAAGGCACAAGCTCAAAGAGAAGAGAGAACAGAGGCAGAAGAGAGGAGGAAGATTGGCAGGGAGAAAAGTGTTTACTCTAGAAAATGCATGAGAGAGGGATGAGGAGGGCGTGGATGTAAACAGCTGGAGGGAAAAAATGAACAATGGGAAAATGGAGAAGGAGAGAAGCGTTCGGGGCTACAGGGGTTAGCTTTCACGGATCAATGCTATCCGCAGCTCCATCTTCACTCAGGGAGCGGACCCTCCCTTGTCCCTAAACCTAATGATGGAGCTCCATCAGATATATTGACAAATATGAATTGAGTTGCAGTGCATTTAGGATCTTGGTAAATGTCAAAAGGAATACATCTTTTTGAGATTTAAGCAAAGGAATATAGGCGAGTAAAGCAGTGTAGATGGAAAACACTTGAAATAAATGTTTTTTTTGTCCTAACCACTTGAATACCTTCATGTTTACGCTAATGCGTCAAAATCCCCATCTGTCTGGTATTCATCTTCCAACTTTCACACAATTTCTCAACTCATTCATCAGTTGACAGCCAGCTGAGTCAGAGCTATTTGAACCAATCTCCTGAGACCTACAGTAAGTTTGGTGAGTAGAGATGGCGATGTGGAATCTGAGATATGACCTTTACGTCCGTCGGCTGCTATTCATAACCAGAGCCGAACACTGCACATGTATCAAAACCACTTTTGCCCAAACACACAGGAAAGGGGAACAAATCATAACGGGGGAGTCTGACAGTTTGCATTTGTGTGCACACTTGAATGTGTGTAGCCATGTATATGCACTTCTTCTGGATGTACCTGTGTGTAGTGTGTAGAATGAGCTGAAAAGAACACTGGAAGAGGTTAAAAGAGGGACAGTGATTAATAAAGCAAACCAAGACTCCTCCACTAAATCCTTGGGGCTGGCATTGAGAGGAGGGTCTGAGAGGAGAGCGAGATGGAAAGCATGAAAGAGAGCAGATAGCTGATTGGCACATATGCAGACCCAGAAGGGAACATTCTAATATTAGCACAGTGACTGAGTTCAGTAGAATGTATGGTGCCATGGCTGGTATTGCCCCCCAGAATGTAGCCCAAATTGTATTTCCAGCCCTTATCTGGCCTTTAATCTAGCCAGCACAGTAGAGATCCCACATCATGGGGTGCAGTGGAACAAAGAGAGAGCTGGAGGAAAGAACAGAGAAAGAGGTGCAGACACAAAGCAAAAATGTGGGCTCTTGTCTCTGGCAGTGGAGCCTTGTTTCACAACTTATTTCTAAGCAAAGATTTACCGAAATGAGGAATGTATGAATATGACTTTGACGGAAACCTTGTCTCTTCAGTCCCTACAGGAACCGTTCGAGACATGCAAGGAATTAGAGGAACAGGATGCAGGACTGGTGCAGATTAAGCTGTGATATATAAAGGTGAGGTGGCATGACATTTAGCACTGCTATGCAATGTGAGCTCCAGGCCTGGCCAAGCCGCATTACCTGCTGTGGCCCATTACACCCCGATACTATTAGGGAGACCTCCACCTGCATGGCTGCGATTCAATTACACTCAGTCTTGACCCGGCAAAAGGGCGTACAGACAACCTTTAAGCAGTATGGGGGGGGGGGGGGGGGGG